GAAAAATTTAATGCATAGCGATCGATTAAACACAAATATTAGAGAAAAGATAACAGAAAAAAAGTGAGAATAACACCACTCGGTCTCTTTCGGTAAATTTCCAAATAATACAATTACAAAGTTGGCGAATTAAATTATCCTCGGAAAAATGGAAGATGAGACGGAGGCGGGGATGGATATTCGCCATGAAAAAACTTTCGAAAAAGCGCAGCTTCGCCTGGCCACAGTATAAGCACGTAATACAAAAGAGCTTGGGTAGAGCTCCTCTACAGAAGAAAAAAAAAAACACTTTATCCGTAGGGAAAAACTGGAGGTATATACTGCCAAGATGCACCCTGATTTAGCTTCATCCTTACTTTTCCTCGACGAAACTACGCTGCCGTGATTATAAACCAGAAAACTTTTCCCCCTCCCCTTTTTTACAAGTAATACCGATCGTAGAGACTCGCATCCCGTATATTAACATTAAAAAAAATGTTACTACATCGTACCGATCTTCCAATTGATTTTCGTCCAAAAAAAAAAAAATTTTTTAGTCCATGGAGTGACGGATGCGCGATGATGCAAACGAGGAACGGAGATAGAAATAGAAGTTTTGATCGAAGCAGGTACAGAGCCGAGCCCTCGTATTTGCCCTGCGGCAGGGCTGACTGTCCTACTGCCATCGCCGCTACTGGGCACGATTACATCCCGTCCATCAACAAATCAAAGGTAATTTATGCAAAGCCAAAGGGTGATATGTGCACACACAAACACATGCATATACACCTGGGGAAGGGGATCGATATCGTTCGAAAAAGTGAGAGACACAGGGGGTTAAAAATCAATTGATTGTAATGTCATAGGCACGAGTGGGAGATGGCATTTTTGTGGGTCAACCGATGAAAGTAAAAATATTTTTAAAAATCTTCAGAGAGACATCCCGAGTATCTATTACCGATTTTCTCATCAAAGCCGGAAAGTAAAAGGGAATTTCATTCTCAACGCAAAAAACCCGAAAATTCGACGGTCTTGAGGTTCGTTTTACGGTATCGGAGAACCTCTAAACTCCGTATAATACAGCGCTCGTCAAGACACCTGGTCCATACCAAGCCAAATCCACGATTCCAGCCGGCTTACGTATACCTCATGAAAATTCAAGGCTTGACTAAATTTTGAACAACCCGCCCCCTGATCCCCATTCCTGCCCAACCCCCATTACGCTCACGTGCACATTTTCTCGTGAGCATCGGAAATCGTGGCAAAAGCTCCGGACAAACGACGGGCGCGTGCGTCGGTTCGTATTCCCCGTGGCTGGTCCGCGGCGGCGACCCAGGAAACGAAGGGACAGTCGAAAAATATGAAAAAACCCACACCCCGCGCCAAAGCTACTTACGGGCGTACAGTATGTACACGGATCCCCAAAGATAACAAGAATCGACCGGGGACGCAACGAGTACAGAGGGCAATATGGTGGGTATAAGGTGGGGTGGGTGGGGAGGGGATATGCGAAACTCGTACGCGCGCAAAGTGAAACTACCGTGGGAGAAAAGGAAAAAAATCGGATGTCGGCTCTTTTCCTCCGTTCCTCTCGCACTGCAGGGGAGGGGGGCATGAAAACTGGAAAAACACAGCAAAAGCCTGCAAAGGAAAAAAAAAAAAAAACCGGGAGTCAGTAGCAGCGGCAGAGTGACACGGGGACTTTTCTCCAATAATCTTTTCTCGGGAATGCGCTCGCACAGGGAGAAAGAGATCTGGAAAAAAAAAGAAAAAGAAGCCCGAGAGAATCGAATTTTTAACGCTCCTGACCTTTCCCCCCCCCCCCCACGCACATATATACACGCGCTCACGCGAGCAAGCGATACATCACATATCGCGCACACGTGCACAGATCGCTCGCTAAGCTGCGTAAAAGCGCAAAAAGCTCCCGTTCCCACGCGTACTTTACCCTATACGTGTGTTTGTATGTATGTACGCTCGCTTGCACACTAAACTCACGCCCACGGGCACTTATCGCGGCCCCGAAACGTCCAAACAAAAGGGACTGGTACTACTGGTGTAGGTGTACGCAAACGGTACTGCAGTCAAAGTGGAGCTATACGTGTATAGGTGTGTGTTTGTGTGTGTGTGTGTGCAAGTTCACGCGCAGTAAGCGCCAAAAGCAAAAGAGACGAGGGCGGATGAGCCGGGCGTATAGGTGTGCGTTTAAACGCCGCGACGCCGGCTGTACGACCTGCACAAGTACTGCTAAGCGAGTGTACGGGCATCCAAGCGAATCGTGGCAAAAGTAGGAGACTTTCATAGTTATCTTTATTAAAATAATCATACAATCAGAAAGTCACGCCTTAAACGATGGATAGGTGAGTTGCTAGAAAATAATTAAAATATAAATAAGAAGGTACAATCATTTGCTCGCGTGTGACGAGAAAGACGTTCCAGCTATTGCAAGCTCTCCGGCTCAATAAGCTTGTCGCGATGCACTAAAGAGGACAACCAACCAAATCTGTATCAACACTTGTATAGTTGAGAGAGTTACATGATATATATATATANTTTTTCGTTTGCGCAAGCTCGGGCACATCATTTACCTACACATAGCTCGATAAAATGACGGAATGCTCGAAAGCGAGTCGTAAATCCATCCGCGTGCACGAGGCATAATTATTATAATGCACCCGGAGCTACTGGAAAACGCGTGATTTTTGCAAAATCCCGCATATATGTATGTAGCTGTTATTTACACGCACATATTATTATATATTATATATGATATACGTATATATATTTTCCTCTCTACCACCGACACACGGCTGTATATATATATATATATATATATATACAGCCTTTTCGAGCCTTATCTAGACTTACACGTGTACAACATCAACTTACGTACTTGAGTCCCGGACTCGCGAGCTTTCGAGGTAGTCTCGACTCTGGTACGCTCACCCACTCCCGATGTGCAGCTTAAAATGTTAACTGGCGCAAGAGAGAGAAAGGGAGAGGAAAGAGCCCCCAACCACGTAGACACAGTTGAAACGTACATACTGTTGCCAGCGTTTCGTTTCACTGAGCAAAGTCTGAAGAGGCAGAAGAAGAAACATAGAAAAAAAAAAAAGGCTAAAGAGAGAGCGCTTTTTACCGACCCTTTTTTTTTCTTTTACACAAGCAAGGAGAAGAAAGAGAGGCTTTTTTTCGCGGGCGAAGCGTCAATTAAGACGTAAGAAAGAAGGGAAGGAAAAAAGCGTCCAAGAGACCAGCCTCGGCTGTTCACCTCGAGAGCACGGGCTGCACGATGACTCTTTATGCGCGCGCAATTGTGCCCACCGCCCTTCGTGCAATTAAACGCGCAAATTGGGGGTGAAAGCGAAGAGGACTGTTTCTTTATTTATCCGCGAAAGAATCAGCCTGTCTCGAGTCTGGCTGAAATGAAAACTGAATCGCTCAACCCCTCCTTCGAAATGAGAACTTCACCCGATCACGTATTACGCGTGCCCCTCTGCTACACGAATCCTCGTCCCTACAAGCTCAAGTGGGGGATGGAAAGCTGAAATCCCAGCTGAGCATAGTGGCTGGCGTGTTTTCAAGCTTGCAAGCTCTATAAGTAATCGAGGCTTTTTCAGGCTGTAAGGCGACTAGTCACCAAAAGCTTGGTCAAAAGTGCCACGATTGACCTACTGCTGAGCTTGCAAGCTCCGATGAAAATCAGAGAGCCGAGGGACTACCTGGCGTGTTCCTTCTCTCGAGGACTTTTCGGTGCTCATGATACCAGTGTGTACTACCGAGAAATCGGTTCGAAGCTGTTTGGATGCCGAAGGGATGTACACGCGATATTACACGTGGCTCCAGGAAACGAGCGTTGGGACCTTGGGACAACGCTGATGACGAGGCACGATTTCTTATCCCTTCTAATAGTTGTCCTATAAATGGAGGCTCGATCAGAGGGAACGTGAAATTTTCCATGATGCAGCACGTGTCTTGCCTACAAGTAATTGGTACGTGTGTATACCTATAATGGGTAAAATAATAAAAAGCCTGATTCCGGTGAAATTTTTCTGCATCGGTGCTGGGAGTTCAAGGGAAATGGAATAAATAAGGCATGAGTGGGGTAATTCGTGAGAAAAAAAATGAACGTTCAACAAGCGGCAGTCGTTGGCAGTCGGGAGCGAGAGTCGGCTGGTATAATGCTCCAGAGATCGTTTTCGCTGCGGCTTTGGCTGGGATTCCAATAAACAATTAATCTGAAAAAGGATATCCGTGAAGGCAATGGCTGATGCTGTGTTGGAAAAGGCATGAAAATAACTATGGGTCTCCAGAGATTCCGTGACACGACAAAAGTGTACAATTAATGCATGTACTACTAATCTCACGTGAAATAAAGTTGTTACACCAAACACACGGAGGTTCAACCCGTACTTCAATTTTGCTTGATGAATTCCGTGCGATTCACGTGTAAACTCTTTTCTCGGCACTATTTGTACTAAGCAACGTTTAAAAACTTTTTCTACCGATTGTTTTTGCACACTCAGATGCGAGTTTCTTCACTGATTTTTCGGTAGATAAAACTTGAGCAATCGTTTGTTCAATTTATCGACCCGTGAGAATATCTATAGGTATAAGTAGATACTGCGGGGGAAAGTAATCCAAGGGTTTTTTTTTTTTTTTTTCGGTGGGAAGAGAGAGAAAATCTAAAAAATTAAAGTTGTCTGGAGTACCAGTTCCCGAGACTCTACACGTATACAGAAGCACTACTACGGTATTACTCTCGCGATGAATTCCACTCGCGTATGGCCGCCAGTGACGACGTCTGCAGCATTGTAGCTTTAAGAGACATAAAATTCTATTAGAGCCTAATGAACTTTAAGAAGTATTTTTTGCACAGATATTACATAAAATATAGTTGATTACGGGAACCTATAGCTTTGAATATAATTATTAATTTTACTTTTGCACAGCTGAGCTGAGCTATTATATGTTTGCAAGGTAAGTTTTAAAGATAGAATTGAATTTTTTTTATTTTTCAGCTCACCAAGTACATAAAGGACTCGCACGTGTCATCTACAGAGGACTTGAGGATTCTGAGTGTGACGTGAGTAGGTACAATAGCTGGAAAAATTCTTTGCTTGCAAAGTACTTTGAGAAAATGAAAATTCTGTAGCTGATTTGCTTTTTAAATGAACCGACAATTAACGATGTTTTTTATCGAGCCCGAGAAAATGGTTAAGAAAATAAAAAGCAGCACAATATTGATACGTGCTAGTAAGCATTACTGAGAAGCAAAGAATTCGGAAAAAAATTTTCAATCTTTTTCACAATTTATTAATTACAATACACAAACATTCAAAAGAAGCTAAATATATGTTGTTGCAAATTTTATGATTTTTAATTTTTGACAAATCCAAAGAAAATCACTTGAGCGTATGTAAAAGGACACATGAAAAAAAAAAAAAAAAATGATTCAGGTGTTTTTATTTTTTTTTGAAGCTAGTTTACGATGGATGAAAATAAAAAATTGAATAAATTTCAAGTTGACGCGTTGGAGTCAAGTACCCGTACACGTTAACGGATGATTGCAAATTTTATGAAAGTTTGTATTTGCAATCGATCTCTCATGTTTTTTAATTTTCCTAAAATTATACTGCATATCAATATATAACCACCAAAACTTAAAAAATAATTTCAATACATCCACGTATACAAACACGAACGAATAACCAACTATTAAACCCCTAAAGTATAAGGTCAACACACACTTACACTCGCACGAGATGACATGCACCAAATGCGAGCACACACACGCCCACTTGCTCTTTTTCTTTTTCTCTCTCTCTTTGTGTCCACAGTCGAGCGTTGGAGGTGAACTTTCATCTGTTCGGCGAGTCGCGCGATGGTGACAAGATCCGCGGGGCCCTGAACAAGTTGGTCCAACGCAGGAGGCTCGGCGATTTTTTTCTCGAACCATCGCACTTCACCTTCCAACAAAAACCGGCCCTTAGACTTCAGGTATGCACTTTTGTTGTTTTACCTCGCACACACGTACGTGAGAGCATGGTACTCGAGAAAATTTATCTGCAGCCCCTATTATTTTACGTATGTACCAATAAACGTACGAAGAGTAATGTTCATGTAGGAAGGGAGGCGAGAGAACCAAATTAGGCAAATGAGACAAATGCTTCTCTTGGCGCCTTCCTTCCACCCTCTAAGAGATTTGAGCTGCATATGTGATATGTATACCAAAGGGGGTATTCCAAAGTAGCAACTGCAATGAAATGTAAAATATGAGTTTAATTGTAACGACACTTCATTAAAAGGATCGAACTTATTAGTTAAACCTTATTAATTAAATAAGTATTAAAATTGGTAGGTATGTGGTGCCACTTTCAATGAATGTTTTCTACAATGAGCCCTTCGTAAGTTAAAAAATAGCTGTAAACAAGAGTTCAAGTAAGACCGTAGATTTTCAAGGATACGTGAGGAAAAAAAAATAGTATTTACGAGGCGGCGTTTTGTATACACGTGCGTACGCATGTTTGCCGCAAAAACTTGATTAGGAGCAAAGGATGACTCGGGGGCAGTGCAATTGCCGTGGTTTTCGCGCAAAAACGTGCTGGTACTGCTCACTCCTGCTTGTATTTCTACGGCAACACAGGGGGGAAAAAAGTTTTTAAATTGCACCCAGTGCTCCGCCAAGAGAGGCGGGAGGAAGAAAAACAAAATTGTTTGATTAAAAAGTACGTTAATGACTCGCGCCAAAAAAACCATGTGTATACACGGGGGTGTTGACGGTTGTGCTGTTTGTTAATTCAACTCGCGAGTGGGTGTTTTCCGTGAAAATTAAAATTTTTTTATTTTCTACGGCACGCTTCATTTGATAATTTAAATTTAGCTTATTTCGAAGTAGCTCTAATCAGTCGAAACAAAACTGAAATCTCGTGTAAAACTAAATTATTAAAACTATATCGTTGATACACTCGACGCAGTGATAAAAAAAGACGCTTCATCGATCAAACATAAAATCCGATTCGCGGACAAGCAATCAGCCATAGGACCCGGGAAGTTGGAGCAATGCTAGGATGCATCGAGATAAGAGCACCTAAATCCGAGCGAAAACAGCTCGGGAGGTGTCGAGTGCAGCACATAAAGTCTTGGAGCGGCGGAGAATAGAGGAGACGTATACAAGGAAGGGGGTAAAAGCGATCCAGCTCACATACGGGCCCGTAGGGAGGCAGAGGGGGTATCCCCCGTTTGTCCAAAGTGCAGGCTGTTTGTCGCATCGACGCGCCCCATCGGTCTTACTTTTAACGAAAATTCGTGCCACCCGTGTTAACGCGTACGTAAAACGACAATGATTTATATATATTACACAGATACGTTGCACATACCGCCCCTCGTCTTTCAATGCTCTTGATTTTTATTTTGCACAAAATATCATCCCTTAAAGAAGGATTTGTTTTTATGCGTACTCTCACGTTTGTCGAAAGTGTTTTTTGTACTTCTACTATACGTATGGGCGAAAGATAAGGTAAATATTATCGTTGACGAAATTTTCCAATTGAGCCCTAAATGAAAACTAAAATTTGCACCGTGTCAATTTGTTGTAGCAATAGGTCAATAAGAACAAAAAATTTGTCGTGAAAATTCCTGTAAACGCTTACAATTGACAGCCAATTGAGTGGTTGTCAAGCAATTCAGTTGATGATGGTATTATTATTATTATTATTATTATTATTATTATTATTATTATTATTATTATATTTAAACAGCAAATTGTTTTGTCCAAAATTAACGCAGTAAATGTACTACGTTTTCTCGAAATTTGTCAAACCTGCTAAATATTCAATGAACCATTACTGATGTCGCAATGAAGCTTTTATATACACATGTACCACAGTGCACCATCGAAATGAGAAATTATTGGAAATTGATAATCCACAGGCTTGAAGCTTCGTATCCAGCGCCGGTAATTGAACAGTTAGCGTTAATTAAGAATCACCTTGATGCAGCCGAGTTTAAGTTAGCTAAGTAGGTCCTGGCACCATCCGTCAGATTAAATATCGATCGGAAGCGCAGAGGGTGTAGTCGGGGCTGCTGAAATTTTCTCCGAGTGCTTCATCGGGTGTAGAAAAGAGGGGGAGGGGGTAGGGAAAGTTTGGCACCGTAGAACGGAGGTTGATTGATATTAAATGTAAATTCTCTCTCTTCCGGTTACCGTCAGTCCCTGGGGATCAATCAACCAAACGAACGTCGAGTACAGCTTGGCGATCAATTTATATTGTCGTGCATTGCCGTGGGCAGCTCCGATCTCAAGTTCAACTGGTACAAGGACAACAAACTGGTCAACATGAGCAAATCGATCAGGTGATCAATCTGGGTTTTTTTTTTTTATATAATATCACACATCATTTTTTTCAATTTATAACTTTAATTGGATAAGTGTACAAAAAAAATTTCTTGAGCTTTTGTCGTAAAAATATACATTTGAATGTAATTGAGTAATTGGTTGGAACGGGTTGAAGATAATAATTGGCGTTTCATTGTAACGGGCATTAAATAAAATTCGCTCTGATCTATTGTCATGCATAGGGGTATTTGGTACAGACACTTGCCGAGCGACGGCTCGGATTACCACACGTCAGTACTGACGGTGGAAAAAGCCACACTACTCGACGCGGGCGTTTTCACCTGCCAGGCCGTTGATTGGGGCGTGCAGCAATGCAAGAGCACTCGGATCGCTGTGATAGACAATCCAAATGTCAAGATCGTGCCGATGAGCACCACCGTCGAAATAGTGAGTACCGAATCATTTTTGTAAGCCTCTATTCTTATTTTAAAGAGCGTTTCTCATTTAGTTTGTTTGAAAAAAAAAAAAAAAAATTCTACTATTTCTGTCTTGATTTATTTCTTAATTTTTCTAATTCCTCTAAGAAAAATATGTAATTTTAAGAAAGCACCGAGAGACATATTTTATATAAAATACATGTTTGCTCCTTGAGTTAAAAATTTCTGTAAGCAATTTACTTTAGTTACTTTTAAGTTTAAATATTAAACCTAATTGAAACAATTGATTTTGAAAAAAAAGTGACGTTTATTTTATAACACAGAGGTATAAATAAAAAAAAAAACTTCCTTCTTTTAAAGGTACAAATCCCTATGATACGCCATTTACTTCTATTCGAATCTCACCCGATAAATCTCCCTAGCCTGGAAAAAAATTGCTCCTCCATGTAAATCCATGAGATCGCTTGGGAGGATAAAAAATAGACCAATTCGATATTCGTGAATCTCGTAAAAGTCATACTCGTCGCGCTCGAAGATCCCCCCACCTTCAGTTTTTACACGTGGACGCCTTTTGTTCGTGACGCTGGTGGATCTTAACCACTTAAAATAGTAATTGTACATTTAACGGAGCCATAAAACTCGTAGGTCGATCGATCCGCAACAAATTGGGAAATCTACTGAATTAATAGTGGTCTGTCCAGTGGAACTTTTAAAAATTACGTAATTTGCACAAGGCATGAGGTACAATAAATTCCAATATCGAAAATTTGAGTATTATATATTATTGTTTGGCACGTATCATAAATACTTACTTTGATAGCTACCAACTGTCCTAACTTGTTTTTAATCTCTTTTTTTTTACAAAAATGTTTTTAACTTGATAAAAACTGACAATGTATAGCGACGTTTCACCATCAAACCAGTAAAAATTTTAGATTTTATTGCTTATCTTGACGCATTAACGAGTAGTGACACATAAAAAAAAAAAGTTTTCTTTTTCAATATAAAAAAATTAAAAACAATCAGTACGTTTATTAGAAAGGATACTACCATGTCTCAGCGAGTTTTCTCCTCTTTTTCTTGTATAATTTAAAAAAATTTTTTTTATTACTTTTATTCAAAGAGCGTTTTGTCATTAGCACTTGAACCACACTCAAAATCGATAACTGCTTGAAAATTCTAAACTGCGACAATGACGACAACCATGACCAAGACAACAAGAATAATTAATGAGGCATTAGGTAGTATACAAAGAGGGAAGCAGCTACACTCGAAAGTTCTCGCCACAAGTTCGTGTACTTGAGCTGTTGCCACGGGCTCCCAAACCATTACAAATTTAACTTTGCGATGGGAGTAAGTAAGAGGGATGTATACCAACCATCCCGCAAAGTCTGTCGTCGGACCTTGAAAATGTTTCTGCCTCATTAGTCGCAATTTCGTGACGTACATTTTTCTCTTCCTCAGGCCCTTGATTTTTGTTTGTTGAGAAAACTGAATATTTCACTGATTTTAAAAATATTTTTCGCCATCTCTTTGGCAATTTTGGAATGACCCAATTTTTCCCCTACTTTTGAGCCCTTGTCCGAGAAATTTGGTTCACGTGTGCCCCATAATATTCGAGTCACGAGCTGCAGCTGCTTACGTGTAATACCAGTGCCGTGAAATTGCGTGCGTCGAGTGGACGAGTCAAATATTTGCCCCGTGCAAGTTCCACGTAAATTACAATCAGCAAAATGAGTTGAAGTCGGCGTTATGGTCGATCATCACAAAATTACGTGTTTAAGTGACGGTCAATGCAAGCTCTCTCCCTTCCAAGACTTGCACGGAGCAAATAAGCAAAAAGCACCCGCTCACTTAGTTTTCAGCGCACGAGAGCTGCCTATTAGCGCATGATCGTCACACCGATTTGTTATTATTTACGAAGTAAAACGAAGAGCAAACAAAAAAATGATAATAATGACCAAAAAACCACGTACACCCGCAGGGCAGCACGGTGCGTCTGATGTGCACAACGCCCAATATGCGCGACATCGGCATCGGCTTCGGCTGGACGAAGAACAGGGCGCTGCTGCGCTTCGAGCCGGGCCAGGAAGTCTGGGAGGACCTCTACCCCGCGGGCAGTCTCCTGACCATAAGCCGGATCCAAAAGTCGGCGGTGTACACGTGCAACGTAGCCCAGCGCGCAAGCTCGGTGCGGGTCGAGGTCGTCAACCGCACCCTCATACCGATCTGCCGGGGTGAGAGGGCGTGGAGCCTCGACTGGCCGGACACGGCACCCGGGACCAGGTCGATTCTACCCTGTCCCCAAGGCTTCGTCGGTGGCAAGGTGACCAGGCAGTGCGCTACGCGTAACTCCAGCAGCTCCGAGTGGGACTTGGTGCCTGATTTTGCCGACTGTCTCTACGAGGGACTCGTCCAGCCGTACGACGAGGTGAGCGCGGGTGTTTACTCGGCACGGGATGAAAATGTTTGCCAACCCGGATGCTACTGGAGCAAAGCGCCCTACCGTGTATACGTACATCCTCTGGGGCGAAGTGTGCCCCTCCCGTGATCTGTTTGTTGGCGCATTCATGTGTGTATAGACCAATACCGTATTTGCGTGACTCCCTGACTAGGATTTTGCTTGTTTGCTCGGAGGAAGAGGCGGAACTGACCGATCGATGGCATATACAATTTGCACGGCTTATTTCATAATTCACTCCCGAATACTTTTTAAACCCCCTGCCTTTTAATATCGGATATTGGTTGCTTCTTTTTTTTTCATCCCATGGTGCATTTGGTGCAAAGAGGTTTGTCTCACTACTTCGCGTGATTTCGTGTCAACTGAAAGTTAGTATTTTTTTTTTACCTTAAAATATGTATTTTGTTTGCTAATACCTCTCTGCTGGTTATTTTCAAATATTGCAAAACTCACCCTGACATTTTCATAATAACCCTTACGTGAAAAAATGAAATAAAAGAATAACCCAGTTAGTCGATACCAAAAAGGATTAGGTACAAGAAATCTTGAAAATTGAAGAGAACAAAAATCCAACAGTTCCGGAGCTTGACTCTCGGCTACGAAGGTACGAACGGCTCGTCGACGATACAGGCATTCTGGGACGTGCTTCAATACAGGAGGTCGAACTTCTATCCAGGCGAGGGCGATCGTGTGATCAATCTGCTCGAGGAGGTCGAGCAATACCAGTACAACGTGGACGAGCTCGGTGATTTGCGCCACTCGACCGAGGCCCTCATGAGGATTGTCGATAGGATTCTGAGCAACGAGCACTCGATCCTTAGTCAGCAGGTAATCCAGCCCCTCTGTTTCCCGTGGTTTTTTTTTTTTTTTTTTTTGCCTCTTTTTTTCTTAATCATCGCGTAATTTGAAGAGCTTAGAAAAAATATGTACGAAGCACGAGTGAAGATTGAAAATCAAGCAATCATTGCAACGTAAAAAGTGTTTGCTTTCGATGGTTTCAGAAATTAGTGTCATTGAGTCAGCTGGTTCACCGGAATCTTGGATACTGGAGCCAAGACGGTACGGAAAGTAGCAAACATTTGTCGCTCGCCGAAGTCGTAGTTGACATTCTTCCGATGAAAGTATACTCCACGTCCACTATCATGTACAGTTTGAAGTTACCCCACGACAATCAAAAGTAATTTTTATTCTTGTAGCTGTAACTACAATTATTAACTTTGCTATCTGTTTGGAATCTGTCTTCGTTGATTTTACTCGGACTAGTCCTAGTATTTGGTTCCAACTCAGCTATGAACTGTCAAACAATAATTTTCTTTTTCTTCTTCTGTTTACGTGTTACTCAAGTAAATATCCCGATTGGTACAACGAGCGAGTTACGATTCGTCTTTACCACAACCAAGTGCTCAGCAACAACAAAACCATATCCGGCATCGTCGTGGTCTACCGGAATCTGGCGAGATTTTTTCCAGACACGTACATCACGGAACTCGAGTAAGTACCTACTACTGCTACTAGGTAATACCTTTTACGGAATTTTATAATTTTTTGTCCTTTAAATTTAATATAAGTACACGTAAGTACTGATAGTTAAACGAAAACTTTATACAAATTTTACCCACATTAACCATCAGGTTCGTACATGTATGTGGTAAAGAGAAAAAACCTTGACCCTTCTCTGCACCCATACGTATACATATTCGTGCAAAATCCCGTGGAAATAATCAGAACAGCGGGAAAACTGAATAAATGTACTAACGACATGAAGCCAAGATATTTTACCATATGCAACGCAATTAGCTCCAAAGTTTGCCTCGTCTCGTCTCGACATACGATTTGCTCATTCCTAGTAAGTAGTAATGTCTACGTATGGTCAGCCAAGATTTGTGTAATGTTCATTAATTTTGCTGACTATTCGTTAAAATATTTTTTCAGTAAGGAAACAATCTCGGGACGTAACTTTTTACTCGTGTCAACATAAATTATGTAAAAATCATAATTAACATTATATTTTATATGACAAAGGACTTATGATTTAATAATAAATTTGCTTAAATCTTAGTTGCTCGATTGATAATTTTATGAAATATTCGCTCCATCAAGACTTAATTACACTTTTTAAAGCTTATAAAAACCTAATGTGGTGTACTCGTTTTTGTTTTCAAACAATACATTTTGCTTAACGTGCGTCTGACTATACGTCTAGGTAGTACTACTTAATATTGAAATGGCGCGTAACAATATTAAATTGATTGTCAAACTGAAATAATTTTACATAATTAAATTGAATTATTATCACTCGAAAACTCCCCTATCCGGTCTCAATGGTAAGTAGTAATATCTACGTCTAGTCAGACAAAATTAGTATGGCAGCCACTAATTTTGTAGGGGATGCAGTTAAAAATTTATATTGCCATGTTCAACCATAGATACGAATTGGCTGAAAATTCAATGTGTACACCGTTACACAACTTGTACAATTAATATAGTTGATGATTAAAAGTTATGTAATCATAATTAGTGATTATGAATATTAATCGAACGAATCACAAATAGTACTTTCAAAAAAAATAAGGTATCCATACAATTTATTAAAATTGAAAAATAATTTTTAAGTCGTAATTGAAAAGTAATTTTAATTGTGACAACAATAAACAGGTGCATACATTGATCAAGGAAGAATAGCGAGAAACCTAAAGGATCCGCTAAACAGACCAATAAAATGTACTAAAAATGGAATAATTGTCTTATCGAGTTTGAGGTGCTCAGATTTTAAGATATTAGAGAAAAATTATAAAAATATTAATGTACTCGTAATGATTTCCAACTCAAGACAGTCCTTTTAATACATAAATTTTTAAAATAACTTTTGTTTCGTGACATTCATATCAATTTGTCATAATTATTAAAAAACTAAAGACCCAGATAGATAGTTAATTAACTAATAATTAAAAGTTTATTTGTATGAGAAAATTAAATATGCAACATTGAAATTTCGGTAGGGCAAAAAAAATGTAGTATGATGAAGCATCGTTGTCACACGCTGTCGTAGTTCTACAGGCGATGAGGCAACAGATATTCCGTACGCGTACTTTTTTATACTCTCTCGGCTCGTCGCTCGTTCGATACGAGATGAAGCGGCGTTTGTTGTACCTATGTGTACATAAAAAATCTCGGATGCGCAACGTGACGGCTAACTAATTGGGTGCCGGGTAAAAGGGTGGTTTTTGTTTGTCAATCTATCCCCCTCTGATTTTTTTTGTTTATATTCCTTTCATCGCTCTGCCGTCATTCTTTTTTTATTCTCGCTCCGTAGCAACGTGTAATGATATTGATTTATCGGCACAGTAGCGACTTTTTTTCGGCACTTGCGAAGACGTTCATTCAATTTTGAATTAATGGACTCGTTGACGAAACACCTGCTATTTTACAATTTTTATTTACCTGCGAACATGCCTCTTGCCCTGGGGATTCATACATCCAACTATAAAGGTAGAAATAGAGTCAAACGTAAAGACGTAAAAACAGAACTTGAAATGTGAATAAAATGATCAATATTGAATAGAGTTAAAGATTGGCAAATTAGTGCATGAAATGATAACTATGAGTTTGGCAAATTAAATAGTCCAATGGAGTAGCAGCGTATCCGCACCCGTAACGTGAAGGGGGTAATATTCCAAAATTTAGATGTGACGAGTGTTTGCACCCGAGTATACAGGCATAGATAGATAGTATCAACGTGGGTCTAATCAACACACACATGCACGGGAGTAATAAAGCTCAGAATGTACGGGTATAGGAGCTTTTACATGCGTATATAACTACTCCCGATGGTTTGATACTGCTCTTGATGAATTTAAACTTCGTTGATAATGTTTATGCATCCGTAAACCCGCTGCACGTACTGACTCAAAATTATACTACCCGTTATTTCCCCATAATATACGGATGCATATACGGGAGACATGTATGACGTATACGTGTACACGTTATTTACTCATTTTCGACTAACCAGCGCCTACAACACACCCACACGCTCCATCTGGCTCAACGCTAATGTATTAATTAAGATGCATTGAGTTTATTGTAGCAGCCACGGTTTGTTCCAGGAAAATTAAATGTGAGGGAAGACACCTACATCATCACTCGTCTCAATACTGAATGGCGAGAGGTACAATATGATACATGATGTTAAACAAAAGTGTTTTCTCTCGTGCTCACGCCCTCAATGCACGAGAGATCATAGATCAAAAAAGGCGTATCACGCAAACAAGGACAGGTTAATAAAAATTCAATCAATGGTTCGCTAGCCCGTGAATCAGTGTTATTTCACGACTCTCGCGTGCACACCTTTTTTGGGTCGACTTTTTTTTGTGCGCATATTGAAAAAAAAAAAAAAAAAAAACTGTCACTCTGTACCATCCACATGGTTGCTATAGTGTATAGTCGAGAACCAATTACCCTTCCCAGAATTTAATAACGTCACTGTTCGCGTCACTCTCCTCGTACTGATGGCTCTCTACATTCCTGATCCAGACAGCCAGAGAGTTTCAAAAATCCACTATCGATTCTGAAATTCACTCCCCAATAGTGCATGAACCGCATCGAACAGAAGACCAAAAAAACGTTTTCTTTTTTTTTGTTTTTTTTTTGGTACATGATTTATTTAAAGACGTTTTTGGCGCAGAGGACAAAGATCGTTGTACTGATGTGTCCAAGAGGAGTAAAAAAATATTGAAGATGCTCAAAAAGTAATGTAAGCGAAACGACGCGATGGTCCTTTGGGGTTGTCACTATCAGTCTCCTCAGGGGCCCCGACTTGATGGGTAATCTCTTACACTTACAGAGCGAGGAAAATTGCTTTTTAAAATAAATGAGTATCCCCTTCTTACCCTCAAGCTGAAAGTCCTGATAACATTTGCTATTTTTTCTTTTTTCCAATTTCGATTTCATGGAAAAAAATTTTATAGTGAAATCGTACAAAAGTAGAAGTTACTCGATTTAATCCATCATAAATTATCAAACCTCCGCATCCCAACAGTTTGTTCAAGTAAAACCATCAGTATAACACGTTTGGAGTACGTAGAAGTCTTCTTGAACATTTAACCAAATCAAGATTTAAAAAAATGAATTTGTGTTTTAAGTAGAAAAATCATCAATGTATGGTCAGACAAACCTACAAAAAGATTGCCCATATTGAAATAAAAGAGAGTGGAAGTACTTAGTAAGAAGCAGATTTTGTATGCTTGCAAAATTAAACTTTAGTGATTCTTTTATAAAGGAAACACTCTAGCATTCTGTCCATATGTACCACAAGATTAGCTACTTATATAATCAGCCTATAACGAGAACCAGTAGTATAAAATCGATTTGGTCAGCCAACATAAAAAAACTCAAATTTTAACTCTAATAACTTTTTTCTATAACTATTTTTACATATTATCCCATTGGTAAATGTAAGACATTCACGTTATGACGACGGATAAATGTTTTATTCACGCCTAATTTACGTTGCAGAGACGGCACGGACCTGGAGTACCGAATAAGCTCGCGGGTGGTGAGCGTGACGACGTCGCACGGAGTCGAAGACCGGAATGACAGGTACGCCATCGAGTTCGAGTTCGGTGGGGCTTATTCCTCAGTTTCTTCCTCTTCCTGGAACGCGAGCTGTGGGTCCCTGAAGCCCGACGGCAACTGGAACCTAGACAGCTGCACCTTGGACGAGAGGCTCGAGCAAAAAGGCGGAACCTTGCACTGCCTGTGCTCTAATCCAGGAACCTTTGCCGCTTTTCTCACAGCTCGTGCCGAGACGGTGAGTTGCGTATTATGTACCTGTGCCTGTTGAACCCAGTTCCATAATTATTGGAAGTATTTGCTACACATATTGTAGCCTACCATCGGTGCGCTCACCAACGATTTTATACACAAACGTGCCAAATGCAATCAATAATGGTAAGTCCAAGATTCGCGAATCCTCATCATTGGCATAAGGGATAAATTACTCAATTGATTTCTCGCTCTCGTCCCTTACGTACGTATAGTTTAGCAAACTAATGTTACCCTCCTCTTTTATACGTCTCACTCTTTAATTTGATTTGGTCGGAGTGTAAACTGCTCTGATTTTTTAACTTGTAACCGAAAAAGCTAAGGTATACTTCTTTTTCAGAGTGGGTGTGATTACTGTGGCAATAGACAAACTATTTTTGCGTGGGTATATTTGTCCACTCTCTCTCACTTTCTCGAGTTTACTTTCTTCCTTTTTCACTCTGCGCTATATCAAGTTGGCGCTTGCGACTTTGTGGGGCCAACTTTTCTTCGGCACAATGCATGGCTGCTACGCTCCCGTGGGACTGCCACTTTGTGGGGTGGCTAGATTCCTTTGGGCGACGACAGGACGGAGGAAGAGGGAGAGCTAAAGGTGATAGGAGGAGAATGAGCTCCACTTACACTCGCTCGCGTCCACATAGTGGATTGCGCTTTTATTGCAGTGAACTTGGGAACGATATTGGGAAGTCGAGGGTATAGACGATGATGTGTATTAGAGAATGGGTTAACAAGTTGATGTGATTCTTTTTTTTTGCTTTATAGGCGTTTATTTTTCATGCAAATACTTCATAGTACAGGAAGGATTCATCAGGAACTTGTCAATTAAGAGCAGACGAAAATACATTGATTGCCTTTCTACGAAATGTAATTTAATTTCATTACTAGTCAATCTTCATCATGAGATTGAAACATCATTTCGCAATAAATTAAAAAATCTAATCCCGTATAACATAAAAAAAAGCAAATTTTTGTTTTACAATTGAATTAATTTTTTTTAACTTGATGGATTCTATTTGAAAAAAAAAATATTCGGATGATTGAAAAGTTCATTGATCCTTTGAAAAAAATGCAATTAACTAACTACCGTTTGCACATGATCTTAAAGTAGAAAGTGCCATAACGAATAGTTCGAAAGGCAAAGTTAATTCCACGTGGTGATGCCTTGAAATGAGAAAAAAAAAACGTATAAACATTTAATTTTTTTCACACGCATTGTTACACGTAGCTAAAAAATTTTTTTTTTTAACCATCCCATTCGAATGCAGGTGTCTCTCAAAGCTCGCAAATTCGGAAAACGTATCCCCCGAAAAACTCCAGCGCTCAGTTACTAATAAATTGCACTCTCGTCGAGAGAGAGACAGTGCCAAAACGAGAGGCGCAAGGGCATTTAATAGATTTGATTGCCAATCACAAATGCTCGTTTGTTTTGCGCGTCGACGACACCCTTTTGCGACCTGGTGTGAAAAAGGGAGGAAAAAAAATCGAGTTTATACCCGGACAATTGTGCGTGGAAAAACGCCCATTGTCTGACACACGCACACACCCACTCGTGCCCAAGGGAACAAGGGTATTATACACAGAAAACACGTAAAAATCGTTTTTGAATGCACGTCCCTATTGTTTTATTACGTGTGGGTTCATTTTCCATGTGTTCAATACACCAACAGTCAACGACAAGAGCAAAAAACGACGAGACGAACTTTGTGGTGATCCTCGGGTGTGCCAGCTGTCTGGTACAGTGCTGCATCGCCATAATCGTACTGACCGCGTTCTGGTGGCGCAATCGGACGTGGCTCAATTTTCTCAAGATCCAGTGCTGCGGTGCCATTGTAGCCGCCATGGCCACCTTCATTTACGCCGTGCACTACGAGATTTCAGAGGTAAGCTCACACAAAATACTTCTGGCGGAGACTTTTTACGTTTCATTCAAACGACCCGAAAAATCATTATTACAGTCTGTAACGATTCAAAATAAGCTTTAGTGTACCTACAATTAGTTAATTAATGTCTCTTTGTCTCGAGGTTTTTGTATGACTCGAATGAGACACTAAGCACAATGAGCGACAGCACACGTTGGTGCGTTTTTACCCCCTTCATTGTTCGACGAGAAAGAGACAAAAAGAGAGAAAAGAAAATGCAAACATTTCAGGATAACCTGTCCATTGTGGCGATGTGCCTGGAAGCTTTTCTTCTGATTGGCACGTCCTCGCCAATTTCGCAGGCACTAATTATTTACGCCGAGCTCTCGAACATCCATCCGAGTCAACAGCTCCAGCCAACCGTGGTGGCCGTCATAACTGGTATGAATTTCATGAATAAGACATCCAGATCAGACTCGGCGCTTTTTAATGGAAAAGAAATTAAAAAAGTGTACCATCCACGCGGGGGCTGTGTGCTCTTTAATAAATTCAAGCGTACGGAATAACGGCCATTCAGACTATACATCGAGTTGAATAAACAAGTGGATCAACGAATTGATGAATAATTTTTCCTAAATCCTGCAGTTTACTCGGATTACATTTTTTTTTTTTTTTTTTTTTTATGTACCAACTCGCGAACGCGAAAAGTTAAAACTTACAATTTTACTTTGTCCGTTAAGTAGAAAAATCATCAATGTATGGTCAGACAAACCTACAAAAAGATTGCCCTGATGATGGTATTATTATTATTATTATTATTATTATTATTATTATATTTAAACAGCAAATTGTTTTGTCCAAAATTAACGCAGTAAATGTACTACGTTTTCTCGAAATTTGTCAAACCTGCTAAATATTCAATGAACCATTACTGATGTCGCAATGAAGCTTTTATATACACATGNTTTTTTTTATGTACCAACTCGCGAACGCGAAAAGTTAAAACTTACAATTTTACTTTGTCCGCCGTTTGAGACTATTGAAAAACTGTTTGTACTCATAAAAAATGTCCCCACAAAATTTTTATAGTTTGTATACGTTGTATAACAACATTACATCATACTTGTGCGCAACCATGTATACAGATCTTCTAGATTTCTTACAACTTTTTTTTCCATAACTATCATTGTAAACTTATGGATACGTAATATATAGAGGATCATATTTATGGATATGGATACGTAATATATAGAGGAAGAAAACCCAATGTAAAGTGGCTACAGGTGCTATTAATTTGCATAAATTATCCCTTTTTCCCTTGAAAAGTACATTATATGTCACGCGATCCCATCGTTACTAGCTCCAAGCACGGGTTGATAAAACTTTGTTAATTTTCGCGGATATGCGTACGACAGGCGTGCCTATTTTGGCGCTACTCACGACCGAATTGATGCGGAAAACCGTCGGCTGGAAGCACGAGTCCTGGTGGTTGGTTTTCGGCACCGAAGTTTACAACTTGTTCGTCGTATGTTCGATGACTTTGCTGCTCACCTTTTTGTTGCTATACGTAGCCGTCATTTACAAGACCAAGCCTCTGCTGTACAAGTTCACGAAGAAGGACGTTGTTCGGCTGAGGTGAGTTTGTTTTTTTTTCTAATTTGTATACTTGCATGAAATATAAAAATAGCAAATGGTATGGTGATTAATGATGTTGTTGAACTCGTCACAAACAATCTACGTTTGTCATGTCACATCAGATAATATTTGTTCCAAACATTCATTCTCTTGTAAAACAAACACTCTCCTTCATTTTGTATTTTTGTTTGTCTATTATCTTCCACCCTATATACCGATGTACTGGCCTTTCACGCGCAACCTCCCAGTCATGTGTATGACGGTGCTGATCCCCAAAACCCTCCCCATTTCCCATTTTTTCTTACACAATACCCAGAAGTACAAATAAAAAAACCAATATTAGAGAAAAACCTCAACAGCCGGACTCGAGAACAAAGTCGAGCATGAACAAACTCTGAAAAAGTTATTGAGTTTACACAACTGGGATTCAAATCCGTACCTCAATTATCTGAACAAAACGTACTTAGCTAACTGAGGTAAAGCTGCTCCATGGCCATTCATCTCCAATGAAAATAATATTATACTCCTATTTAACAATAATAGCGTGAATTATTACTTAAAAAAAAATTGATCAAAGTAAGCGTGGTGTGATCAAATATACCTATACATAATAATCGATTTTTTTTCCCCTCCAAGGATAAAAACGCTGCATCGTTCGGCGATCGTTATTTTTTCCATGATCGCAATGGAGGTATCCTCGGTATTCTACGTCAACTCCACGGTGGTCATTTATCATTACGTTTTTGCGTTTCAGTCAGCTCTCCTGGTAAGTAATAGTCTTTTCTCCTCCACATTATTTACTCTCCAAATATATGTATATATAGCTTACCCAACCGTCCCTGCTTCTCTTCCCCTGCCCCGGTTCTCCAATGTAACTTCGCGTACAATCCTGAAAATGATTTATTTCGCGCTCAAGGATAAAAATACAGAGCCCTTTTTATTACCCAAAGATTGCACGAGCATTAAAATTTTCATTTTGACATAAATATTCAGCCAGTCCTCTGTCCCTCTTCGATGTACCGCGGTCGTGAATTGTAACTTGGGTACTTTGTTTTTAACGCGCAAAAAAGTGTGTTATTTTTACTCAATGATACCTTTGTGACTTTTTCATCGTCACTAATGAAAAAAAAAAAAAAAAAAAAAAAAAATCAAATCAAATTAAAGGGCTGCAAACGTGTAGAAGAGCAGCCACAGATGGCTCGAGGTAATTTTTTTTCGTGAGTGGGTAGACACACATAATTTTACGACGAAATAAACGGTATTGCGTCTCGCGTGAGCTCCAGAGCTGTTTCGCAGTTTTATCTTTATTTACCTCAGAGCCGAGGAGATGAAGATAAAACTTTAGTCCGCGCATACAGGCCAGCGTGTGTATACGTACAAAAACTTGTTCACCAGCGAAAAATAAAGAGTCCATGGGAAGAAAAGCGCCGTCCAAGGGGATGAGTCGAGATTTAGATTAAACAGGGTAGGAGGAGAGATTTCGTTGTTTATCTTGGCCGGGGACTGTTGGGATCTTACGAAGGAAACTCCACTTTGGCCATGAATTTTAATTATTCGCGAGGGGTATTTTCGTTGTTTAACTTTGGCCATAGCTGCCGGCGACGACGCTCGTTTTCCCGAAATTTCGAGCTCACGGTCCCAAGTTGCGCTGTTAAAATCCTCGAGTACCGATGATTATACGAGGGAAGCTCGATGAAACGACAATTAAAATCGGTCGGTGTCCTCGTCGTCATCAGCAGCAGAGGCTTTCGAAAACTTTTCGCCCTCGCAAAAACATCTTTAGGTACATTGGAGAATGACAACCTGCAATCGACTTATCTCGATTTGCTCCTCCACCGCAACGATTGTTCCCAACGTTTTGTCAATAGCTCAGCGTATAAATGTACATATAGACTCTCTTTTCTTTTCTTTTTTTTTCTTTTTTTTTTCTTTTTTTTTTTTTTACCAGGGACTCATAACTTTGTCGATGTACGTCATTAGCGAGGAAGTGCTNACATTATTGTTCTGTACATATTATAATATGTGGCAGCTATATAGGTACCACACGTAGCTACTGAACGGCGCCAGATTAGGCGTTTCGTGTGTAAAATATCAACTCGATTAAACAGACAAAAAAAAGGATCAATTCCAATCGTTAGATAAAAAGGGAACATCTGTACAATAGTCACGCGAGAATTTTTACCAGGGACTCATAACTTTGTCGATGTACGTCATTAGCGAGGAAGTGCTAGTGGTCGCTCCGAGTCTTCGAAAATTGAAAAAACACCAGTCGGTGACCGACGACGAGTTTACCTCGGAACAGACTAAAGGTAATGTGTGGGTTTTTATTTATACGGATACGTTTGCGTATGTACATTCGCTTGATTTCCTCCTTTTTGTTTTTCGTGCGAATAAATTCGTTTATTTTTATATCGCGATGTTTACTATAGGGAGTTTACTTACGAACCTTATCGATTATACGTTTTTATCATTATTTACTTTATGCCTTTACTCTGAAAATTCAGTAATTCCTCGATGTGATTATATTTATTGACTTATCGATACAACGTTTTAACCTCAACGCCATTCACTGTGTGCTTTTATTCGGAAATTTCAATGGTAATATAAAATATTAAGCTACGCGGCTTTATCCGTAATACTGTAATTTATTAAATGGAAAAAATATTCATCACAATGAAAAATAATTTAAATACTTGTTGGCACATATTTTGGTACATTTTCAAGTAGAATCAAGGAATTATATTTTGTCAATCAAAGTATACATTTTTATCATTAAAAAATTAGGTTGCCACGAAGCGAGAGCCAATGGTTTTCTATAATTAATGTTTTTTTTTTCTCGTGTTCATAGTGGCATGCATGTGTTGGGAGGAATGAAGTTTGTTCCACAAATAAACTCGTTTATGGAAGTATCAACACTGCAGTTCGTATCGAATCTGCCACTGGCAAAACGAGAACCGCTGAATTGGTCCATTTGACTTTTCCACCAACCGCAGCAACTCGTTGTGCTTTAATATATTCTAATAGTATCGATGGTGGCTGCTGACAAATTTTATATTTATCGATTGGAGCTCACAAATTCTCGTGCAAATAAACCTGCGAATGAATCGGATTTTACTTGGATTCCAATAAAAATTTAGTCGTTTTACCTTTGAAGTTTAATTCATGTCAAAATTTAGTAGCCATTCCGTTAGAAATAAAAATATTCGTTAAAAAAAAAAAAAAAACACGTTATTGTCAATTTAACGAAAATGGATGACTAAACGTACGCTTTTCTACTTGCAATAAAAATAAATGGCCAAATACAATTGTTTGTACGTTATGTTGTGAGATGAAATTTCAAACTCGAACTCTAGTCGAGAATAAAAAGAAAAACTCCAGCTTTTTCTAAAATAATACTGAAAAAAAAAAAAAAAAAAAAAAAAAAAAAATTAATCAAAGGAAAAAAAATTTTAAAAACTCCAGTCCACCCCAAGGATCGCGAGTCCGAGCGCGAGGTGTCGTCCTCGTCGTCGGCGGGTTGTGCCCTACCAGCGACTATCCTGCTCACAGGCGTGTGTGAATCCATGGCAGCGTACCCGGAGACCCGAGGAGTGGCCGTTGGCATAGACGCCCGCGAATACGTCAACGAGGCCGCGGCTGGCGCCTACGCCGCGGCGACGAAGCCCCTGCCCGAGATACAGATACACCACGTCGACGACATCCACCTCGACAATAACTACGGGCTGAGTGCACGCGCCAGGGTCCAACTACCGCCACAGCCGCCGAAAATTTTGCACACGTTGCCGAGGAGGTACCAGGTTCACCACCCTCCACCGCCCCCCGTGCAGTTCGAGCAGCCGGCTTACGTGGTCAGGGGAGCGGGTTTTGCGGCCTTGGAGCCTTACACGACGCTGGAGCATGTGGTAAGGGAAAGAACATTTTTACTCGTACATGCGGTGTGAAAACGAATCAAAGGTTTTTATTTCAATGCATGTTCGGAAGAAATTTACGAATCAATACACTACTAATATTAGAGACACACGAGGCTGAGGCAGTTTTTTCTCGTCACTAAACAATCCCAAAGGAATTAAATAAAATAACACTTTATCCGTGAAAAAAATATATATTCTGCAACATATCGTTACAAATTCAATGCTGGCTCAGGCCAGCTCAATAGAACCATACATAAAACGAATCACCTTTTAAGTAGAAACAATCCGAGTAGAGTCAGTCTCGTCGTTCAAAGCTAGAAACTCTGAGATCGGGTGGTTGCCGTTTGCACGAAAATTTCAATAACGTCGGCAATGTCTTCTCCGCAATTTTCACTTAAAATTCGCCCCTTTTGTCGCTTCCATGCGTACAGAGATAAATATTTCGAGTCTCGAAAATCGCACAATTTCAAAGTCAGAAGTCGCTCTTCCCTGCAGTCAAGACACGCGACGTTGAGAATAAGAGAGTCACGCGCAAAAAATGCGAACCAACACGTGAGTACCTAGCCACGGGGCATGAAATTATCGGCTCAACGACGCGATGGATCCACGTACTAGTCGGTCGTAAAGCCAAAAGGATCGGTGCGCGGCTTTTACCACAGTAGAAGCCAATACGGCCTTTAATAATGTCTCCAGAGGAAGAAAGGCATGGAGGAGGAGAAAATTGAGACGTAGATCTTTCTCGATCTCGCAATCTGCAAAAAAATACTCTCCCTCTTTCAATCCTATACCTGCACGACTTAGTACCTATGCATAAAGATACAAGTTCTCCAATTCGCATAACGGGATAGATATAGATAAAAATAGAAGACAAAACCTCGCTGTCCTTTTAACAAAGCCACCCAAAGATTAACCAAAATCCAGATGAAGTCACCGGCAGTACTCCAAAACGTAAGAGTGGATGAAAAAATTTGAAGATTACCACGTAAGACCAGTTTAGCTGAGATATTTATTCAGGAAACCAAAAAGATTACAAGGAGCTCTTGACGGCAGGATCATTAATTAGCCCTCGTGTACAGTAAAAGACCGTAGAACCTGCTGAATAGAATTTCGGGTGAAAGCATCAGTCACGGGGGATGGAGGGGGAAAAAAACAATTTGGACCAGAACATTTATTTACTCAACAATAACACATCCCGGGTAAGTTTGAAGGAGTGTAATATGGGGGGAGGGGTGTGCACCGCACTGCAGCCATCAGGACAAAGTGAGACTCATTTCTCTTGACACCACCCGACGTAACAGCCTCCGCGACTTTGCGCGTCGCGCCAAGGAGATTGAAAAAGTTTTTCCTCGCCTACGACCTAAAAAGATGCGCGGGTGTGTGGCATTGCATACTACATCACGACACTCGGCCGTGCCTGCAGTGACAACTCTAAGAATTTGAGAAATATACACTTACGTATACGTATTGCGGGGAAGAGACGCGAGAGAACAAGCCGCAGATGTCGCACGTGCCTTTCTTTCGTTTTGATAATGGTATCAGGTGAATACTACCTTGACTTACGTATGATTTAGAAAGACTTTTGTGCTCTTTTTCATCGCCATTCGACAAAGAGCGAGATGAATATTTTTTGATCAAACGTTTGTTTAATTTGATAAAGAAAGTATCGCACAAGAAACAAGTAGTATAACCAAAGATCTGGTCAGACGCTTCAGTAACTCAGATTTGTTCGGACGAATTGGTACCTTCTTGGAGCTTTTTCGAATCAACACAGTATATCTCTTAAACGGCTATATAATACAATCATCGCCTGAAAAGAATACAGGGGGTACTACTTGACTCATCGACACAAGAACGAAGGTTCAAGTCGGACATGATATGTAGAAGGGATCAACTCGATTAAACAGACAAAAAAAAGGATCAATTCCAATCGTTAGATAAAAAGGGAACATCTGTACAATAGTCACGCGAGAAGTAATGTTTAAAGATGCGAAAATGGTGCAAGATTTGCTGGAATAAATTTGCTTTAAAAAGCTTCGCCTGGGATTCGATGCAAATCGGGTGCATAATTTTACAAACATTCATACGCTTTGATACCAAACAATTGACCCCTTCAATGTAAGTTAGTTGGAATTGGCTACTTTTTTACGTTGTGGAACTAAATATTGTGCATCATACATTTCAGCATTCATTTTTTATTGGGATCGAAACAGATTCCGTATGATGTTTCGAGAGTCACTTGTAATTTTGAGTGCTAAAGCAGCTATGAGACGGCGTTTATCATGAAAGCGATGTAATTTTAATGCCGCAGTTTCACAGGGGGCTACAAAAAAAGTTTACTCTTTTCCTGAAAAAAGTGGCCAAATTCGCATTTCATTGCACCAGATGTGCGTCACCGAAAGAACTTTTTTACCAAAAATTTACTAAAATTAGCCCTCTATTCTCAAGCACGCGAAAATATTATTTTACAAATATAACTCCACGTGCGAAAAAAATTGGATAGTTTCAAAAAATAGTACAAAAATGTTTAAGTTTTCCGCTGATTTATTAAAACACTTGTTTCAATTTTAATCGAGAGCAAGTAAAACATGAATATTTGGTTTCGTTTAAATGAAAGCTCTGGAATAAAACGTGATTGAAAAATTAAATTAAACATTATGTTTATTGAACAGGCAGTCGAGTCAAAAAATGATTTTTAATTCAAATTTAAATTATAAAAACAATGACGTTTTCTGTCTTTAAATTTTCCAAAGGCTTCACTCGAACTTTCATACAAACAAAATAATACACCACATATCTCAACTGATAGCTGTAAGTGCAAAATAAAACCGTGTTTTTGTCTTGAAAAAAGTGTTTGCAAGGACACTACGTATCCTGTATTGCGGATGACGTGGAAGAGTCACGGGATGACTTTTAGATGATTAATGCGAAACCACATAAATTCGCTCCTTTTCACAACTTGTAGCCTTTATTTTCTTCTTATTATCGTAAAGTAAAAAAAAAGCAGAATACATATATATATATATATTTTTTTTTAATCAAAATAAAGTAACGGCGAAGGAAAATATAGTCAGACGTACCAGAATTTCAAGATAAAAAATTCGTAATCCGTAATCCCAATGATTTTTTTCTATTGCAAATAAAATTCATGAACTGAAAATACAAGCTTTCCAAGAGGATATGTATAAGTAAAGTGCAAATAAATCGATACAGACATCCGTGCGTGCATACGCAAGAAACTTTTATCTTTCACTCGCTCACGTCAATCCTGCAGCCGTTCAATGTTCCCAGCTCGACTTTATTTTTTATTTTTTCTCTATTTCCATGAGAGAAAAAAGGGGAGAGCGACAACCCCATAAATTTATGTAAGACACGAGTTCAGGAATAATTTCGTACATACGAACAAGAAGTCCCGAGTGGGACGAGCATGTCGGCGAAGACGGAAAAAAAAGGTGTTTAGAGTTTCCAAGACTACTACATCGCTGTCGTCGCAGTGGAACGTGTCTTGTATAAGTCACAGCACGCGCATCTGCTTACCCGGTAAAGACGTACATGCACTATACGTAGTTCACGTTGTCTCGCTAACTTTGACGACGCCCTCGATGCGTCCTTTTTTTCTTCGACTTTTACATCGTACGACACACGTGACAGATGTTTATTCCACGGGCTGATTTCCGCGGAATATACGTATCTTTTGTATACATACTTGAACGACGGGTTGAAAATTATCTTTGTCTGCACTATCACTATTTTCTTTTGTATTTATAAAACGTGCAGCGTCATAAAAATTACTGTAGACGTGAAGGCTCGAGTTGCTATTTTTTTCTTAAAAAAGTTTTAGCCGAAAATGCTTCGAGGCATTAATTATACGCAAAACCAGAAGTAAGCGAGGTGACGGCGCAGCTAATAAAATTACCACCGTAAATTCATACGGGGTATCCTTTGCGCGTGGTAATATCAACCGAATCGTGATTAATTAAGAGCTGGGTATATAAGTCAAAACTTCCTTTTAGAAAGCATAGCATGCGTATACCTAATTATTTCGCCAAAAAAAAAAAAAAAAATGGTAAAATTTTTTAATACTCGTTAAGTACGGCTGTACTCCTGAAAGCGACCCCCGTATTTTTCCGCTCTTCCTTTTTCCGCCAATCTGGAGAGCGAACCCATCGTTAATACACGCGGTCCGGTACAGCGAGAAAAAAAAGCATCAATGAAAAAAAAAATACGATGCTTACGACGCATAGTATCTTTTTTCTTTCTCCCTTCCCGGATGTATTTGCATTCGTGCACCGGCTGCTGTTCTCGGGATTGTACAGTAAAACTCGAGTTTGTTTTATCTTTTACGAATACGTACGAGCAGGTGCCTTTTTTTTTTTTTTTTTTTTTTTTTTTTTTTTTTTTTTTTT